AGGGCAGAGATCATGGAGTCACTACTTCTCTGCACAGTGAGTAAGTAGGATCAGAAAGAACTGCTCCCACTTTCCCCCAGCTGTGTACCAGCTGGTAACTTCTCTAAGCCTGCTTTGCTTCTGTATCTGCAAAATAAGGACACGAATCTCACCCGTCACGTAGGCTGTGTATGACTGTGGGAATTCGCGCATGTAAAACATTTGGCATACTTTCTAGCACATATTAGGTGCTCAATAAATGCCAGCCATATTGAATATGGTCAAGTGGACCTGTTTGGCTTTTTCCCATCTCTCCCATCTTTTCACATGCCATCCTCTCCAACCTCCTTTCCATTGTTTTTTCAACTCAAGACACACTGTCTTTTTTTTTTTTTTTTGACTTCAACTCAAGACACACTGTCTTTTTTTTTTTTTTGATACAGAGTCTCTCTCTGTCGCCTGGGCTAGCTTGCCGTGGTGTCAGCCTAGCTCACAGCAACCTCAAACTCCTGGGCTCAAGTGAACCTCTTGACTCAGCCTCCCGAGTAGCCGGGACTACAGGCATGTTCCACTATGCCTGGCTAATTTTTCTATTTTTAGTAGAGAATGGTGGAGGGGGGGGTCTTGCTCTTGCTCAGGCTGGTCTTGAACTCCTGACCTCAAGTGATCCTCCTGCCTCAGCCTCCCAGGGTGCTAGGATTACAGGCGTGAGCCACTGTGCCTGGCCTACACTGTCTTTTTTTTGTTTCAAATTAGCCTGTCTCTTTCACCACTGGCAGGGTCTTTGTGTGTGCCGTATCCTTTGCCTGTTTAACCACCTCCTTTGACTACTTAACACGCAGTCAGCTCAACCATGAGTTTTTAAGGGAGACTCTCTGAACTCGGCAGCACTGGCTCTCCTGTCTGACCCCCACTCCAATCCTAGTGACATTCTTAAGTTATTTGTGGGGTGATCGGATTACTATTTTGTTTCCCATTGGACTAAAAGCTCCAGAGAACCCATCCTGGCCCTGGACCGAGTGTGCACACAGCAACCGGGGGCCGGAAGGAATCCTTGGTGGCTTTGGGCATGATTCCCTGGAGCTGGAACTGCTAAGTCAAAGCCACCGTGTCTGGGATGGCAGCTAAAGAGGAGAACAAATTCGATTTGAATCCTTGGGTATTTTTGAGCCACTCTCTGGTGAGGTCTTAGGAGTTTCATTTGGCTTTTAGGATTCTGGCAGGACTCACTAAATTGGTGAGCAAGTTTAAATTTGCCATAGGTCCATCGAAGGAAGGGTCATTAATTCCCCATTTTTTCATTTTTCAAAGATGCTGAGCGCACAGAGGTCAGAGTTCTGCCATTGAAAGGCAAAACCATGTTACGGGCAAATCACATGCCCCTGTGGACCATGCCCTTTCAGGATTAGTTGCAATTGGAAGCTAAAGAAAAATGAACCATTTAAGCAGAAAACCCCATCTGAATGAAAGCCAAGAACCACACTTTGTTTTATAACTGCTTTAGGGAATTCACATTTAATCAAAATTGAAGACGACAGCCTTTTCCAGAAGTCTTGCATCTTTATCTCAGTTTTAGTGATTTCTTTTTAATTAGTTGATGCTCCACAGAAATCCTCAAATACTTAAAACAACTGGGGAACAGAAATAAAAGCGGGAGTTGCAATTGCTTATGGCAGAATTGTGTTTGCTTCCTTGGTTTTGGGCAATTTTGCTAACAAGTAACCTGTAACCTGCTTCTGAAGGCTACAAGTATGTAATTACTTGGTTAATTTTCATACTTCAGTTCATAATTCTAATTAGTTCTCCAACTAGTATTCCGTAGGCAATGTATAATCCTACCTCATCGTATTTGTGAGTCTTGCTATTTAGGATCTCCTGTTTTCATTTAAAAGATGGAGAACTTAATTGTGCCTCACCTTCCTGTATTTTTACGCATTGTCATTACGTTCTTGTCTGGACAGTTAGAACATTCTATAACTTAGGACTGAAAGGGAACTGAGTGAAATGCCTGCCACTTTGATGCAATTCCTTTTCATTGTGATCATGAATATATTACAAATATCAACATAACCTGAACACACTTTGAATTGATTCTTGAGCACATGGAAGCCCAGTGGTGAGAGATGTGTAAAGGGTTTGGAATCAGGTGGATGCGAATTCAAATCACATCTCTACACTCATCTGGGCGAAGTTTTTAATCTGAGTCTAAACTGTTGATAAGGCACAGACCTGCCATATTGATTTAGTGAGATGATGAAGGTGTTTAGCATGCACTTGCTCTAGAACTTTCTGTATGAGCTCTGTTCAACGGAAGTATAATGCGAGCCACGTATGTAATTAAAAATCATATAGCATATACCTTAAAGAGTAAAAAATGATAAAATTAATAATATATTTTATTTCACCCAACATGTGCAAAATATTTTCATTTCAACATGCATAACGATTATTGAAATATTTTACATTTCTAAAAATACTAAGCCTTTCAAATCCAGTTTTTGGGAACATTTCGATTAGCTATATTTTAAGAGCTTCATAGCCAGATATGGCTAGTTGACTACTGTATTGGACAGTGTAGCTCTAGATGGTCAATAAATTCTCATTTCCTTTCCTTTGTATTTTAGAATTAGTTTAAACCTGAGCCATCCAGCTGGTGGGGGGGTGGGGGGGTGGGGGGATGGGGGTGGGAGGGGCAGCTGCTATGGAGAATCAGGAATATGCACTTGTAGTCCCTAAATTTATTTAGCTGTGAGAAAAACCATTAACATAGTGACTGGAAGAGTACAGGTACTAGTGGTTTGCTGAATTTTAATTGCCTTTAAGCAATATGGTTTTAATATAAAAAAATGTATCTGTTGATATTAAAAGTGGGCCTTCAAATCAAATAGTGCTATACAATGCAATTGAAAAAAAAAAGTATGAAAACCCCATGGAGTGATCAAATTCAGTTGGTCTAAACTGGGGGTTCTTATACCATTAGAGGGGGGTCCGTAAATGGACTTTGGGGGAATGTAAAACCTCCACAGTTATATGTAGTTTATTTGTGTGTTGTTTATTGTAACTATATTTTTCTATGGCGAGAATCCATAGCTTCCATCAGATTCTGAAATGGGCCCAGGAAATAAAGTGTACAGAGCAGGAGAGGTACGTGGAAACTCTAGGGCTTCATGTCAGTGAGACCGGAAGCGGTGAATCACCTCATCACTACGACCCAGGGAATTGTCAACTCAGCCACCAGGTCAGAAATGCACCCGGAAGCACTTGGGTGCTGACTCATGGACGCAATGGTGGATTCATGTTTTTTGGCTTATGCTCACTGTGGGGCATCCGCTGGTGAAACATTTATTAATATATATATTTTTTGGTTGACAGTACAGGATTTAATGCATCTAAGTTAACTGTGCACATGGGGGCTTTTCTCCCAAGTACAGGATAGTTAAGAACTGTGGGGCCAGGTGTTGGGTTCCGAATGCAAATCCCAGTTTGGTTATGAATGAGCTGCGTTGCATTTCTTTGCTTCCTTGACTCCCCTGCTCATTGATTAAGTGCTCATTTCTAACATCTCTTCCAATTCCTTGTAGGAGTTAATTAGCTAAATTAGATTTGGAAGACTTCATATTATTAATGCATTGCATGCGATGGCCAAGTATAACTGGATGATTGTGATTTTGAAAATAAGTTGGACTCAAAGGATCTAGCATTGGATTTGAATGCATTTTATTATTTCTCTGCACTTTTTCCTAAGCGTGTATAGGCTGAGCTCCAAATACAGAGGCACACAAGGAACCCTGATTAGAAAGCCCTCTCTTTGACTTGAATATCCCATTGACTGTCTAGGTTAAAGCTCTTTGTTGTTGCTACCATATACACCCCTCTAGCTTTAGTGAGAACACACAAGGGGAGAAAAGCTGTATCTCCAAATAAACTCAGTGCTTTTATACGATTTGCAGCCATTAATAATTCATCTGACTGGTGGTTTTTTTTTTTCACCGTGAAACATTAACTTAGGAAGACAGGGTATGAGGTAAGAGTGCTTAAGGCTGAGGAACTTCTCTTGGGAGGTGAGGATCCAATTCTGTTGAAAGTTGAACTTGGAGAGTATTGGAAAGCTGAGGCCCTCATAGTGTATACACTGTCTGCAAAGATTTCACCTTGGAGGGCTGATTAGAATAATGTGCAGATGTAATTATCTTAACAATGCCTGGTTCTCGGAGAGGTAATGAACAGACATCTTAATAATGAGGAATAAGTATTTCAGTGTTTTATTTTCATTAAGTTGTTTTATTACAAGTGTGCCTACTAATTAGTCTCAAGATTCCGGCCCCGAAGGGGGATTTCGGTTTGAGCAGGGTCTGGGGGGGAGGAATCTATGTCTGAAATGCCTAAAATGCCTGGTCATTTCAATCAAAATTTCAGTCATATCAGTGAGTAAACCAGATATATGGCATCATGGCAAATAAAAATGACAACCTTCCTATCTTTATTTTTTTTTCAGTAGGCATTACAGCTGAAATTGGTGCAAAGATCACAATCAGGAATCAAGTTACAGCAAATTCATTATTTAGGATCCTGGTGGTTGGTGGTTGTAATCTGCAAGATACCAGTTTTGAAGCCCACCCAGTTTGGTGGCTACTGTTTACAAAAATATTGCCTGATTTGCAGATACACCTCAGAAATGGAAGGCTGGACCTAGCCTCCCAGAGTTGTTATTATTACTGACAGAAAGGAATGGGTGCAATAAACCAAGGAGATTTCATTGTAAACATGACCCTGATTGATAAACTTGCTCATAGTTATTCCTGTTTATAGGATATTGGGCCAAGCTGTAGCATTCTGTAAGACAGGCTGTCAGAATACAGGATTGTATGGCAAATTTGATTCCTTATTCTTTGCTGTTAGACCTTGGTTTTATATCTGTCATTGGGTTCAAGACTGAATTGAAGGCATCAGATGGTCTGAAAGACGTTAAATCCTTCCAAGGTAGCAGGTAATAGAAACAAGGGGAAAAAAAAAAAAAACCGAACACTGCAAAAAGGTTTTATTTTATAGGCACCACTGCAAAATGAGGAATCACGGCGAAACTTATCAAATAGAAAATAATAATTTATTTTAGCTTCCATATAATGTTTTTAACTAATCCTGATTCCATGAAGCCACTTCTGTAAGTCTGTACCTTCAAATCTACAAAAGCAAGGGTAGATTATCACAATGAGCACTTCAAATTCCACAAGCCTCTCCAGCCACAACTTTCTGTACATGCAAATTCTTTCAACTGGCTGCGGTATTTGCAAACATGCTTTAAACTTCCGTAACACTCCATGATATTTTTGCTTTCTGTTCAAACCTTAACACTCTCTTGGGAACCTTTAACCAGAAAAATGTTTACGTGGACATCCCAACTCTAAACACCGCTGGTTTGTTTGTGTGTATTAAGTCATTAATCACAGAGTTTGGTGGTTTTGAGCTGAAACCTTGACCTAAACAATATATTAATATTAATAATGATCGCTCATAGGAAACACATTCGGCGAAGTAGCAGTATAAAATAGGGTTCCATTAAAAATACATACCGGCAGTTGCATTTGTGTTTTAGGCAGGAAAAAAAGCGTGTTCAACTTTTTTTTTTTTTTTAATATGAATATAGTTTAAACAAATCGTTCTGTGAAAGTAGGCTTAGTAAAAGATCTTTTTGAAATTTAAACACTTTATGTAAAAGGGTAACAGGTGTAAAAAAGTACAATTGCTATTTGGAAAAAAAAGCTCTGTTAATATTGCCTTCCGAGATAAGTAAGGGTGTCTTTTTATTTTTTTTTCTTTTTCTTCCTCCCCTTAAAATAGACCTATGGCACCCGGAGTTGCAGGGTGTGCGTAAATTCCGGACCATAAACAGGACGACCGCATCTATCTTATGTACAAAACAGCTTGCCGCATTGAACGAGGCAGGAATTTCTACCCCCCCGGGAGTGGTCTCTGGTGGTCACGCATGCACACGACGCAGCAGCGACCATTACACGGTGGTCACCGACAGGAACGAGTTGTACACCCTCGTGCCGTCCGGCGACTTGGTGCCGTGCGTCAGGAGTTCCTGGATGGTCATCCAGTTGTCGAGGATCTTCTTGTTCCTCCTCCTCATCATCTTCTTGTGGCTCAGTTCCAGGATGCTGAGCTGGCGCCTGTCGTCGGCCGCCTGCTGCTCGCGGAGGCCGCCCAGCCTGCTCTGCAGCAGGGCCTCGCGCCGGCGCCGCTGCTCGCGGGCGCGCAGCACGTGCTGCTTGCGCTCCTCCTTGCTCCAGTAGCGGCCCAGCTTCAGCTCGCTGGCCGCGTCGTCGTCCGTGGTGGCGCCGCTGCGCTCCTCGCGGATGCGCAGCGCGCGCTCGCGCAGCAGGCGGTCGCGCACCGGCCGCTTGGTGATGTAGCGCGAGCCGTCGCTGCGCACCTTCACCTTCCACTCCGCGCGCGGGGGCTCGGGCGCCGCCAGGTCCCTGCACGCGCTCGCCAGGCTCAGCTGGCTCTGCGCGTACTCCACGGCCGACTTCTGCTGGATCAGCTGCATGTAGCTCTGGTAGTGCTGCGCGTGCGCGGGGATGTGCGCGTGCTTGTACGGCGAGTGGTGGTGCAGCGCGGGCAGGTAGGCGCCGCCGCCGCCGCCACCACCGAGGCCCGGCTTGGGGCTGGGCGTCGGGCTCCTGCTCCCGCCGTCGCTGCCCCTCCGCTCCCTGCCCTCCGCGCCCTGGCCGGGGTCCGGGTCCTGCGGCGGCGACGGGCTGTAGCTGGGCGTGCCCACTTCGGGGTCCTCCGTGATGGACAGCAGGTGCCCGGGGGGCGGCCCGTAGGCGTCGTTGGTCCCCCCGGCCCCGTCGCCGCCCGGGCAGCCGAGGCCCTCGGGCGCCCTGCGCAAGGAGTTGTCGGGGGAGATCTCCAGCGTGAGCGGGGTGCTGCGGCAGCTCTCGCCCGTGTTGTAGGCGCTCGAGCTGTCCTTGTCCGACTTCTCCGGCAGCTCGGTGATGTCCGCGAGCTCGCGCCTGCGCACGTCGGCGCCCGGGTTGTAGCCGCGGAAGCCGCCGGGGTGCAGCGCCCAGGGCTCGCGCGCCTGCTGCAGGCGGTGCGCGCGCACGATGCTCAGGCACTCCAGCTCGATGCTGCGCAGCTCCTCGTTGAGCAGCTCCAGCTCCTTGTCCACGCTCTCGGGGTCGCTCCGGCCCGCCGCGTCGTCCGCGCCGTAGGGGGGGCCCGCGCCCCGCACCTGGCACTTGAGCTCCAGCAGCGCGCGGAAGCGCTCGCACTCGTCCGCCGGGATGCCCAGGCAGTCGGCGTCCGTGCAGTCGGCCGACGCGAAGGACTCGTTGCTGAAGGGCAGGTCGCCGCTGCCCAGGGTGTCCTGGCTGCACGTGAGCTTCCTCGGCCCCGCCAGCGCGGCGGCGTCGTCGCCGTTGTTCTCCTGCTCCGAGCTCTCGTCGTTGCGCGTGCTCTCGTCCGTGCGCCCCACGCCGCTGTCCTTCTCGTGCTGGTTGGACAGGATGGTGGCCGTGTCCGTGGTCCCGCCGTCCTCCTCGTGCTTCTTCTGCGCGGCGGGAGAGGATAAGAACACAGGGTCACAGGCAGGAAGGCCCCACAGGTACCCCTGGCTGACCTTTCCCTGCAGTGTTTCCTGATAGAGCAGGCTCTCCGGTTCCAAGGCTGAGGTGCGTGCAGCATCTAATGAGTAGGGCTAGGGCAAGGGCCTGGGAATTAGCCACACCTCCCTGCGTCTACCTGGGCAACCTAAGCTGGGGGAGTCATTACCTTTGTCCTCAGTTTTCTCATCTGTAAAATGGGGGTGATAGTCACTTTACCTCCATGAATGATTCTCACTATGAAATGATCCAGTGCATGCAGGGGTAGGAAGATGCGCGAAGGGCCTTGTTTTAGCTCTTGTGGGACACGGTACGTGGGTTGTTATGACTCTGACAATGGCAGGAGGGGGGTGTAGAACTCTCAGCAGCTCCAGTTTAAACAAAGGGGATTGCTTTGCTTTCCAAAGCATGACTTTATTTTCTCTAGTCTCTGTAAGGCTGGCACATGTGTTTTCCCGACAAATACCAAAAGGTCAGCTACGCCTTGGCATTTTTGCTCAGCTTTAAAAGCCGGGTCAGCTTGCGTTGTGCTTCTGCTCAAATAGAAAAGCACTTAGGCTGATTTTTTTTTTTCTGTCTTCTAGGTGGGTGGGCTTCTCACAGTCTCTAACATCCTGGAGGGACCAGATTTTCCTCCAGCTCAGCAGGGCAGAGGGGCAGGGGGGTGGCCCAGGGGTGCTACCTGCTGGAGCACGTTCGCGGTGAACTGCATGGCCTGGTGGTGCTGTTCTTCCAGCATGTCCATGTGCAGGTCGTCCAGGAAGTCGTTCCTGTCATCGTCCATCCAGCCCTCGTCCAGCTGGGGGTGGGGGGAGGGGAGACACATGCCTCGGAACAGATTCTTTTTATTTATTTTTTTTTAAAGAAAGGACATTACCTTGGGGAAAACTATTTCTAGGGCTCCCTCTAGACGTCATCAAAATGCAGTGTGCCCAGGGTTTTGCTGCAGGTCTCATCCTGACATTAGAGACCTCCGACCTTATGCCATGGTTGGGGAAGTTTCTAGGTTCCGTGATATTTTGTGGGGTAAAACTCTTTCATCCACATTAGCTGCTGTCGGGACAGCAGGCTGCCTGTGCAGAAGGGTCGGGTAGATCTAAATATGCCTCCCACGTGTGTGCAGCAGGCCCCGAAGAGAAACAATTCTTAGTGGAAAGAGTTCTTTCTGCAAAGAAAGTAGGTTTTACTAACTAGCTGTTTGGCTTGGGCAAGGAAATCAGTGGCATCAGGCCTTTATCCATCTTGTGCAAAAAAGAGCAGACTAGTCAGGGATTGGCCAAATCCAGCCTGTTGTCTGCTTTTGTTAAACACAACAACAACAGAAACCCACAACAGCTGAACTGGAACACAACCGTGCCCATTCTTGCACGTACCGTGTATGGTTGCCTTTGCACGACAGTGGCAACACAGGCTACGTGGCCGCCCAAGTCGAACATTCATGATCTTAAAGGACCAGAAAAGGTCTGTGACCCTGGACTGCTGAAGTTCCCTTCAAGCTCACCACTTGGGGTGAGCCAGACACCCTTTACGTCGCTGTCTCTAGATGATTTTTTCACGTGGGTTTCGTACCTAGGGAGATCTACTGACCCCGACGTTTCGCTAGAGCCATTCTAAGTAGATCAAGAGTGCCACCTAGTACGAGTTCCTGATCCCTTCCATCGAAGGAGTTACTGTAACATCGTGGTTTCTGAATCAGAGTACTTGGGCCTGAGTTTCTTTTCATCATGCTCCTTCTAGGTCTTTCTGGGTAACGTGTATACCTTCAGTCTTATACCTGGCATGGCTTACCTGTGCGAAAAGTATTCTGTACAGGGCCTGGCACTTATTAGGTGATCACAAAGCGTTATTATTTATCAATTTGTCTTTAATATTTCTAATTTCCTACACTGCGCTATTGTAAACAGGACCTGCACAGATCAAGACTGGAGTATCTGCCGGGCCTTGGGAAAAGCAAACATCCTGATGATCGTGACCCTGGCTGTGTTTCCCATTTCATTCTGTTTCCTTTCCTTTTCCTTCATTATGATCCCCACGCATTGGTGAACCTTGTGGTCCTGCAGTGTGGACGGGAAGGTGTCAGCACCAACCTCCAAGGGTTAAGTCATCAAGTGGGTTGATCACATTCTCAGGGTACAAAACACCTTCTGGCTCAGAGTCAGTACTCAGGTGCTGTTTTACAGGACTGGGGTTCTGGTTTCAGAAATACAGACACCCAGGTTCGTCTGCAGGAAGTCTGCTCACCTGGAGTTCAGGTCTTGCAATCAGCAGCGAGAAGTTCTTATTTTCTTCACTGGTTAGAAGAGCCACGGCCTCTTCACGGTTCTGTACCTCTATCCCATTAATCTTAAAAAAAAAAAAAAAGTGGAAGTGGGTAGAAAATAGCATGATTGGGTTGTGCAAAATCATTCTGTGTTATTCAGGCCTGTGTCTATCACCCATTTACAGGTGGAACATAGAACTTCCGTGGAGCTTGTAAAGAATGCTCATTTTTGGCCGGGTGTGGTGGCTCACGCCTGTAATCCTAGCACTCTGGGAGGCCGAGGCGGGAGGATCGCTCGAGGCCAGGAGTTTGAAAGCAGCCTGAGCAAGAGTGAGACCCCATCTCTATAAATAGAAATTAATTGATGAACTAAAAATATACATACAAAAAATTAGCCAGGCATGGTGGCGTGTGCCTGTCGTCTCAGCTACTCGGAGACTGAGGCAGGAGGACTGCTTGAGCCCAGGTGATTGAGGTTGCTGTGAGCTGGGCCGATGCCACGGCACATACTCTAGCCTGGGCAACAAAGCGAGACTCTGTCTCAAAAAAAAAAAAGAATGGTGATTTTAGGAAGGAAACATTGAAACAGTGCAGCTTCTCTGGTCTGTGGGTGCAGTGTGAACCGAAAGGGCTGGAACCCCAGAAGACAGCATTGAGAAAAATCACACGGTTGTGCAGAGAGAACACCTAAACAATTTAATCAGACATAATAGTAGTATATGTGGGATTGGCTAGAGCATTACTACGTTTTTAGATAACTTAGGAGAAAAGGCAGCAACATATCTGATATGAACATGATGGAAGTTGAGGGTAGGAGAAGAATTATACCCGGTGTTTTGTGTGCCCAGTTTGATAGTTTTAACTTCTGTAGGCCAGACAGAGGGTCACTCTCACACCTCATAACCCTCTTGCAGGATTTTTGCTCACATGTCCCGGTGACTCTGAGCACTGCTAGTCTGGAACTCTTAGTCGAGGAGGGGACACAGCAATGGTCCTACTGAGGTGGTAGCTGAGCCTTCCCCGTGACTCCTCACGCCACTGTACCAACAAGTAGCAAAAGAGGTGACTCCACTGGTTGGACGGATTGATCCAGGGGACATGGGGTTGCTGTGGCACAGAGGAGACGAGGAGGACCATGACTTGAACCCAGGAATTCCTTGGGGCACCTCCATTCTCAGTAGTGAAGGTTTATGGAAAATTCCAGCAACCCTGAGGATCCGGACCCTTCGGGGGTGAAGGTTTGGGTCACTCAGAACCTCAGCTGCCTGACCCCCAAGCAGCTGAGGGTTCTGGCTAGAGAACAGTAGAAAAAAATGGAAACCAGAATGAGTCATGGCGAGGTATGTAATGAGAAAAATAAACACGGTGGATTAGGAATGAGAGGAGAGGTAGAGAGCTAAACCTTGTGGATACAACAAAGCCAAGAATCTGTTTCTGTGAGATTAGCAAAGGTTGTAGCTTAAAAGAGAAAGAAACAGCCTCGTTTGGACCAGAGGGAATGACAGGGTTTATGGTACAGGAATTTACCTTTAGAAGTGGTTCCAGAATGGTAAATGTTGAGTCGAGAAATTAAAAAAACTACTCAATCAGTTCTGCTACCTTTGCCATCTCTGTTCCCATTTTAAGGTCAAGATCCACCATCTTTCAGAGAAATTTAAAACGAGAGTTATTCGGGTTCCTAACTTGCCAATTGTTGGCCTGAGTTGTTCCGCTGATAGAATGTCTTTGGCCCAAACAGAATGAATGAAAATGGGGTGAACTTGCTTATATTCTGCAAGGCCATCTTCATAGGGGACATCTTCTCTCCACTTTGTCTCAGTCGCCACCACTCCCTATTGCCTATCTCCTTGCCCAGCGTTAGCCTCATTAATTCAACTGGTCTGGCTTCACTACACATCTGAACTTGCGTTATCCCTCTTCTTTAACCTCTCCTGCGTTTTCAACCCTAAAGCCACCGTTAGAACCAGTTTGTTCCTCGGGGACAGGCTCACGCTGATGTCACGGTGGCTGGAAGCCCACCTACCTGGATGATGCGGTCTCCTTCGCGGATGCGCCCGTCCTTGGCCGCGATGCTGTTGGGGTCGATCTGAAACACACATTGACCATCTCAGCGTGAACCCAGACAGGCATGGAAGTAAACAGCAGTGCTTGCCAAAGACACACTCTAACACACAGTCGTGCTCGTTCCCTGTGTTCGTTTTGCACAGAAATAAACGAGACTGACTGTCGTGCAAGGACAGGGGCTGCTTCCAAGCCTCTGCAGGGCCTGCTCTTGGACCCTGCATGGCAACCCTGTCACACAGCGGTGGGGACAGGCCCTGAAGAGGCAGGGCTGACTTTTCTTGCACATGCAGTAATAAATTAACCTGTTCTACAGCGTTGATTTAACAAGTACCCTTCATTATGTTGACTACCACCCGTACCTCGATGATTTTATGCCAAATGTTTGTATTCAATTTTGGAAAATAACTTTAAAATGAAATGTAATTGAGAGAAGTGGGACCGAGAAAAGGGGTAAGGGGTGCCCCAAAATGTAAAAATTGGGGGTCAACTCAAGTTTGGAGGATGCCATACATCTAAAAGGATATTAAGCCTGGTACTTGATCCTATAGAGACAGATCTCATTTCCTGACAAAACTGGGTTTCTGCACATGCAAGAACGGGTGTGCGTAGCAAAGTTTCCATATTGAAAATCCACTGCTTTGCATTATTTTCTCTGGGAAGAAAAAACAGCTTCCAACATTACTTTCTGAAGTATGCATAAGTTACGTTTAACTTATATAATCTCAACTATCTATACTCCACCAAAAGGAAAAAAAAAAGAGAGAGCAATCAAGGGAGACTTTAAAAATTGTAAGTGACTCCCATCCACTCAGTGAACATGAATTGGGAAATGCAATCTGTGTTTTGCTCGGGGCTGAACACACAAAACCATGTAAACGGCTCCATTTTATGGCTGGTTTGCACGCTTCTCGAGGGTAATTTTGCCTCAAGTACTGACACTAGAACGTAACCCCCGTGTAAAGATTGTAACTCCGTGGAGTGTGATAAAAGGGACGGGGTAATTTGTGCCTTTCCAAAGACTTCTGATGATCTCTAGAGTTAAGGTCGGTGAGTGTCCAAAAGAAAAATACAAAACACATGCTTTTGGCCTTGCTATGCTAGTTATAAAAGCTCAGGTTTTGTTACCTCGCTGATGTAAATGCCAATGTCGTCTTCGTCATCTGTCCGGTAGCACACGGTGAGGCCCAGCTTGTCCTGGCTGTTCATTCTGTAGAGGTCCACCTCCTAGACAAAGAAAGGCAGTCCCAGGAAGACGCCAGCAGGCAATGAGAGAGAGGGAGGACGTCAGATGCTTTAAAAATATTTTGTTTAAATGATAAACTGGATTTCTCTGCATTCAACTGTGTAGGGACCAGTGAACTTGCCAAACAAAAAGTGATTATGGACACAGGATCAATGCCTGGGTCATTTCTGACCTTTCAGTCAATATAAAGTCATTTTGAAAATAGTTATTTCATTGATTCCCCCAAAGAAAAATTACCCATATTTCACCCGGCGTCAAGACTTCTGGGGTAGGGCTTTTAAAAAGCATTCTTTCACCGTCTGCTGCAAACAAGATGATTTCCATACCCCAAACCACCCCAGCCATTTCAGTGTGAATGTTTCCAGTGTGTCTGGTTAGATTATTTCACGACGCGCTCCCTCAGCATTCGCAGTTGTAGACCATGCAAACGATTACGCATACATTGATCCGAGAGAGGAGGGTAGCGTGATAGTGTGCAATTAATGCCTTCCACAACAGCTGTGGTATTTACAGTCGAGAAATTAGCTTCAGCTGCTATTACTGCAAATTAAATAAGATAAAAAGCAAAGTGAACCCAAACGCGGGGAACATGAGCGCAGGGAATGCTATTGCATTTGCCGACCAGTCTGCGCTTCGGAATGAAGTCACAACTTTTGAGTTGTTTTGAGCCTTAGGAGGGTGGGGAACATCTTGGGGCTCTCAGAAAGTGAACAGGCCCTGGCCTCTCTCCACCCACTCTGCCCATGACTCGTGTAGCTTTGTGCAGTGGTACGCCGCAGGCCTTTGTGAAGGGCCACCTGATACTAAGTTCTCTGGCAGATCTTTGGGTCTGATTTTTTACAGTGTTACCTGGTCACCAACCAGGAGGGTGGAGGGGGGTCTCTGTGCCACTGTCTCTGGGGACCACTTCCAAGTGGTGCCTCTCAGCTCTGTGATTGTAGCAGATACTTCTTGAGCCCTCCCCTATAAAAGGCATGGTACCCAAGACCCTGCCAGTGGGTACGAAGGCCCTGGGCTGGCGTGGCCAAAGCCCTGTATGGCAAGCGAGAGAGAGGTGGGCTGAGCGTGGCAGGGCCAGACCAGGTAGGGACACTGCAGGAGCCCATCAAAAGGTTTTGAGTGAGAGCTGTCATGATCTGATTGACTTTTGATGATCTTTCTGGCTGACATGAGGTTAGTATAACAACATGGTGGTGTAGAGTTGAGATTCTGAAGATAGGCAGACCTGTGCTCAGATCCCAACTCTACCTCCTCCTGGCATCTTGATCATGGACTTATTGTTACATCGAAGTCTTTGCTCTCTCACTAGTACATGTCAACCTGCCTCCCCGAGCAGGGTAGGGTGTCCTGAGGTGAGGCACACAGAGCTAAGCTTAGCATGTACCTGGCCCATAGGAAATCTCCAGCACCAGCCGTGTTGTAAGTATGGTCAGGCATGGTTACTTGCCTGAAGTCATTAGCATGGGTATATTTCAATGCCCCCCTCCGTAAGATAACTTTATTTTCTGAACATTGATATGTTAATTAATTCAAGTTTCCTAATTATAGCTCTGGAAATATGGTACAGTCTCATGAAAGGAAACCACATTAATTTTTGATAACTCAGTTACGTTAGATGGAAATTTCTTTCCCTTATGTTTGAGAAATAGACTAAGCATGAGTTTTAGGGGCAAACCCAAATACTTGGGTTTCCAAATACTTTGGAATAACCAGTTTCCATGCCACAAATACACTAGTCAAACATCATCTTCTTTCAAACACATCCTCAGGTGTGCCTCTTGAGGGTACCCTTCATTGAGTACTGGGAAGACTGTCTCGGTCTTGGCATTTTCTCGTGCTTAGTCTGAATCAATAACATTCGTGACTGTTGGTTTAGGTTCAGCTACACAAACGTGGCTCAAATGCCACCACTGAGCCGTGTGGTCCTGGAACAGGGCTGCGTGCAACCAAAGCAGAGCGAGAGATCAGTGGGAAGATTGCAGGGAGAAAAAAGGGGAACGGCACTAAACATTGTGATTATTTGCTTTTAACAGAATTAAAAATGATACACAAGTTGGTAGCTTTCTCCAAATGACTGGCTGCCAGGGTGATTATATCTCCTAAGCAAGTATAAAAGATATCATAGTTTCACTGGGCTTTATTCCAGTATTGCCCAAAGTGTGCTTTCATGGTCGTGTTGAGAAACTTCTACAGTAGCTGGACATTGCCTCGATAGCCAAGGGCAGGATTAGCAGACTTGTCTCACCGGTGAAGGTGTAGACCGGTTCAGGTATGGCTGAATGACTCACAAATGGGGTGAGTTACATAGTCATACATGGTAGAACCATGTACTCATCAGAGACAGATTGAAAAGTAAACAGTAAACCAGCCAACCTGGTACCATAGATAGTCTGACAAGCACAACACTGGGTTATGCATGGAGATGCCAGTGCAGTGCTTTAAGAGCCGAGGAAAGGGAAACATCTGGAAATCAGGTCTGGAAAAGGATGGCATAATGTACTAGGGGGTATTCAGAACTCTTAGGGAATGTGATAGCTGATGTTCTGCTATACAGAAATGTCTAGTTTTGGCTTTATACCACGTATGGAGGTGGTCTACTATCAAAAGACTTCAAGTATATGATTTTGATAGAACCTAACTTTTGAAAAGCATTTCTACTCTCTTCTTTGTCAATATTTTGATTGACAGAGATCTGGAGAACTGTTAAGCTATAAAAGTTGATATTAGTTCATGTTACTACTGGTGGGATATTGTTTCCTTCTCCATCTTTCACAGATATAGAAAAAAAAATAGTTTTATGCTTCATATGGAACCAGAGGAGACCCCGTATAGCAAAATCAATCCTAGGCAATAAAAACAAAATAGGAGGTATCAATTTACCAGATTTCAAACTATATTACGTACCAGATTTAAAACTATACTACAAGGCTATAGCAATTAAACAGCTTGGTACTGGCACAAGAACAGGGTCAATCTATTCATTCTTTTAAACCAGGGAGAAAAGTTTCTTCTGGGCTTGAACAAAAGATATCCAAAAATGTTTGATGCTTTGAAATATTTTCATCTGAATCACTGATAATTGAATCAAGAACTGCTTATGCTTCCTCGCTAGGGCACTTCTCATATTCTGCCATCCCCCCGACATGTGGTTAGCACATTAGTAATAGATTTTTTCATAAATGCTCACTGTTTGAGATTTCTGCGTGCACAAAAAGAGGATCCCGTTACTAGGTCTGTTCCCAGCTAGTGACAGTTTCTGAGAGCCCACTCCCTCACGCCAGTATAGAGACCAACACCGCGTAACGCAACCTGTGAGTCCGTCACAGATTGTCCCAGGATGGGCTGCAGTGGGGACAGTCTCATTTTGACTTCAACGTTGCAAAGGCCACACTCTGTCCTTGAGGTGGATGAGTGGGGCACACAGAGGAAGAGCCCACTGTCATCAGAAACATTTGCCCCGAGCATGTCAAAGCTTTTCTCTTCTGCCCCTGCCCAATTCTAGTTGGTCGTGCAGTAAAACTTCAGGACCCGCTCCGCAAAACAGAGATTAGAATGGCAGCATGATTCTACTTGAAGGGCAGTACTCTGGGAGCAGTTTTTTCTCTTGGACGTAGTTTGTGTTATCAGAGGATGAGTGGTACTAGATGAATACTAGTGTAGCACATTTTCAGTAATAAAGCAAAGGGTATTCTGGAACTTACTCTAGGTATTTACTTGACATTTACGTGAGACGGGATGGTGTGGCTATAGTATTTCCTTGCCTTATCTAGACCTTTTTAGGAGGTCTATGACTTGGCCTCAGTCCTTCAATTCCCAAGGGATGCTCCAACATCACAGAGAAGAATCTGACTGCTCATGGAGCAAACCTGTGATAGATGTTCAGAAACTCTTGAAAAACAAGGTAAGAGCTGCTGTCGTCTTTGTATTGGTACAGATTTGCATTTTACCTTGTTTGCTCATAAAGAAGATTACAGTAAGGCGATAGTAGTAGGATAATGAATTGCATTAACACAATGAAAGCAATGTCTAGCTTTGTAGGCTGTGCACAGTAGGTGCTCAATGAGACTGAATGAACGAACCTGAGAGTCCCAGGCAGAATAACAATCCAAATGCAAAATCAGCATGGCTCTGTCCCTAACGGGCAAGTCTCTCTGCAACCAACTTCTCAGCCATTCAACAGTTTTAACTAAAATTCTTTAAATTTATTGGCTGCTTTGAAAATTCTTGTTATTTCTTTTTGACATGAGCTAGCCGCGTGCAATTGAGCATATTGCTGAAAGCACGGAGGTTATCAATGCATATCTTTCCGTGATGATGGAGATAGACTTTCAAAGACGACGATTAATCAAACTGGTATGAATAATATATCAGCATTCTCTGGATTACAGCTACCCCACTACGGGTGTCCTGTTGCTCTCTGGTCTAGATGGACTGTTTGATAAAAACGAAACTGCACCGATATTCCAATTAAAAGCATGAAGGGGGCCCATTCCACTCTCGGTTTTAGCATCAGTCATTTTAATCAAGGGGGAGCCCAGCTCGTTTCAGTGGTTCATCCAACTCCAGGAAGACTGGCCATGGAAGCAGAACTCTTCTTTAAATTATCCTAACAGTTTCTAATCTAATCTTGGCACTACAGAGAGATCTCTAAAGACTGTTTAGCCTCAAGGACCTGAAGTTTGAGAATGGGGTAAAACAAGGCTTTTCTTCCCTCATTTAATGCATATTTACTATGACAGACACTACCTAGGCAAGAGGAATACAACAGTGCATGAGTTACGTAAGCACCCAGGGCTCGTGAAACTTGTATTATAGCAGGGAAGATTGTAGGTAGATAATGACACTCTTGGCCTAGGGGTGCTTTGGAGAGTGATCAGGGAAGCTCCCCTGGAGAGGTGACATTTGGGCAGACAACTGAGGCATGTAAAGATCTACGGTAGTACCAGGCAGGGACAAAGATGCTGGTTTGCAAGTGGTAGTA